AGGATCACGCTGGGCAAGCCAAAGGCCCCTTTGCCTGACCCCTCGAAGAAGACCCAGGCCCAGCAGCCGGAGAAGCCCCCGGGCAGGTGAATGTGGCATGGGGGGAGGAGTGGGGAGGAGTAGGAGCCACGGTGGCGCAGTGGTCAGAGTGCAGTACTGCAGGCTTCTTCTGCTGACTGCCGGCTGCCTGCAATTTGGCAGTTCAAATCTCACCAGGCTCCAGGTTGACTCAGCCTTCCATCCTTCTGAGGTGGGTCAAATGAGGACCCAGATGGTTGGGGGCAAGAGGCTGATTCCGTAAACCGCTTAGAGAGAAAGGGCTATAAAGCCCTGTGAAGCCGTATAGAAGTCTAAGTGCTATTGCCATGTTGGTGCCCACCTGTGGAAAGGGCCTCGCGGGGGGAGGGGGGGTTGGTGCCTGTGTGCTGGGCTCCTGCAGAGACCCTTTTCTGCAACCTTCCTTGTGCCCCTTCCCCCACCTACAACTCAGAGCCCCACTTAAGGCTGATTTGGGGAGCAGAGGCTGTCTGGTGCCAGGCCAGCCGGCTCCATGGCCGCCATTGAGGGGCAGGCAGGAGGTCTCCAGGCTCTTCCCAGCCCCCCCTTCACATTCCCACATTCTCCACGGATCCGGCCAGGCCCTGCAACATACCCTTATAAGGCAGGGCTGCTGTGAGGCTGCTGTTTTCCTCGCCTCCGCCTGCTTCCCTTCCCTCTTCCTGCGCCTTGGGCTGCCTCTGCTCCTCTCCACCCTCCCCAGGTGCCCTGGCCCTGTGCCTCCTTGCCTCCCCACCCGCCCCCCAAGGTGGGACCCCCCCCCCCACAACCAACTCTCTGGGGAGAGAGACCCATCATGGTCAATGCTTGCTTCCCTTCCAGCTGGCTGGCTGTGTTGGGAGGGGCTCCTCCAGAAAAGTCCCAGGCAGACTGCACGTCTGGGGGGCTGGGGGGAAAAACTGTGGTCCTCTGTCCTGAGATAGGCTGCAGCCTCCCTGGGAGCTGTGCCTGCGGGGGAAGGGCAAAGGTTCCACAGAGGCCTGGCATTTTGCGCCACTCCAGAATGTGCCAGTCTGTGGGTCACTTCCCATGCTTTTAGAAGGGAAGCAGAGGGTGCCCCCCAAGCGGCCAGGATCCAGGTGTGACCCCACTTGTCCTCCCCTTCCTTTCTCCCTCTGCAAGAGTCATGGCCAGAGGGCAGCTGGGTGTTTGTGTGGTCATCTCTGGGCAGCGGCTCATGGTTAAACATTTCTAGGTGGACACATCCTCCCTCCCCTCCCCCACTTGGAGGGGGGCTTGTGCCTGCAGGAGATCGAGCCCCACCCCCCTCCCTGCCTCCCTGACCTTTGATCACCTCTACCCCCTGCTCCTTCCTGGCCCAAACGCAAGCCAGCTTTTGCACAGGGGTGGGGAGAGATTAAAACAAAAGCAGCAACTCTGGTGCTTCTTCTCCCCCCCTCCCCAGTGGGGGTTGGGGAGGGGGAGTATTTCTCCAGACTGGGGGCTGTCTGCAAGTTTCTGCTGGGTGCAAAGAAGTCAGCGCTGGGTGCAATTGAGAGGTGGTCTGGATATTGAGAGGGGGGCAGCCTGTCTTGGACCAGATCAGGAGATCCACCCTGCCAGGCTGCAGAAGGGGGTGGGGCCACTTTGATCCTGCTCCGTGGGTAGATCACCTTCATGCCGTCGCTTAGGAGGTGGAGGTTGTGACTTTTCCCCTTGTGCAACAACATCCTGGAAGGAAGGAGGCCTGTTTGACACAACCTTTGGGTTTCCTTCCTTGCGTCATTGCACTTGTGGTTAGATTGCGTTTGGACCAGGCACTGCAAGAACCGAGCATGGCAAGCCAGCTCGTGGGGAGGGGGGCAGCAACACTCCTGAACTGCCATCGGTTACCAAATCCTTGGCCCTTTTCTGCCTGTGATGCATTCACACATTTTCTGAGCTGGGCTGAGCCGAATGTGCGGCAGCAGCCAAAAAGGCTAATCCAGTCCTTGGTGGTATAAACGGAGGCATTGACTTTAGTATTAGTGCCGCTTTATAAATCCTTAGTAAGGCCACACCTGGAATCCTGCATCCAGCTTTGGTCACCACATTTCAAAAAAGATGATGAGGCTTTGGAAAAAGTGCAACTAAGACGATTAAAGGCCTGGAGACAAAAACATATGAAAAACGGTTGCAGGATTTGCGTCTGGCTAGTGTAGAGAAAAGAAGGCCCAGGGGCGACATGAGAGCAGTCTCCCAGTATTTGAGGGGCTGCCACAAAGGCAGGACAAGAAACAAGGGATGGAAACTCATCAAGGAGAGAAGCAACCCGGAACTAAGGAGGAATTCCCTGACAGGGAGAACAATTGATCAGTGGAACAACTGGCCTCCAGAAGTTGTGGGTGCTCCATTACTGGAGGATTTTAAGAAAAGACTGGACAGTCACTTGTCTGTAATGGTAGGTTTCTTGGACTCGAGCAGGGGTTAGACTAGAAGACCTCCAAGGTCCCTTCCAGCTCTATTCTGAATGTAGTGAATGCGTTCGCATGATCAATCCTAGTTTGTGGGACAAAACCATGGCTTAGCCCAATAGGTGAAAGCAGCGATTCTGTGGATTCCATCCAGGTGTGTCCAGCTTCAGACTCCTGTAGGTAGAACTACCTGTCAGGATTAAGCAAGCCAGGGGCTTCTGGACCGCACCGTTCATGCAAAGCAGACAAGCCGTGTGCCGTGTGGGATGGTGCATAATGCACTGGCTTTGGGAGTGGAAAATCAAGGAGTTGTGTGGGAGCCGCAGCCTCACCTCCGGCTGCCGGAAACCTCCTCTCTCAGCTGCCCTGCTTCCCCTTCAGGTGTGCCAGGCCTGGGTTCTTTCCCGGGGCGCAGAAACTTGCTCAACTCTCCCTTGTAATGAAAAGCTGCTGCTGTTTCAGGAAGCTGATTTTTCTCAGTACCTCATTTTGCACGGCTGCTGCTTACTTTTTTTTCAACCTTTGTGAAGCCCTGCGATAGTTTGGGACAAATTGTTCTCTGCGTCTGGTTCTTTAGAGCCGGGGTCTCCAACCTTGGCCACTTTAAGGCTGGGGAGTTCTGGGAGTTGAAGTCCGCCAGTCTTAAAGTGGCCAAGATGGGAGAGGCCTACTTTGGAGGGATCCTCAGCTGGGCTGCTGCTCTCCTGCCAGACCAGTGAGCGGATTCAGAGCCTCCCCTGGGCCTTTGTGGTTCTAACCCTGCCCTTCCGGCTGGACCGGAGCAGCCCAGGAGCCAGAGAAGTCAATGTCTGATGACTGCCCCCCTTCCCTCCCCCTCCTACAGTGAACAGCTGTTGGCAGCTGGGCTGGGCTCTGCCCCAACCTGCCTGGAGGCCTGGCTCTCCCAGTTCAAGAGAGGGAGGGGCTGGGCCTGGAGAGCAACTGCCTGGCAAGGGAGGAACTCAGGGGAGGGGGGGGCTAGGAGAGGGCTGTGCCCTCCTGGGAGGGAGGGAGGGGGTCCCGCTTTTGTTTTGGCTAGGGCTGCTTTCCCTGGAGCTGGAATCATTTTCCTCCTCTGGCACCTATGGCTGCAATTGGCAGTTTAGAGTTCATATGTGGGCATTTATTTCAGTTCCACCACCAGCAAGGCTTCTTCCGTCCCTGCCCTTCTTGCCTGGGCCTTCCGTTTTTCCTGTTTTGCAAGTTACAACAATTCCTCCAACTCCTTTGAGGAGAAATGAAGAACTCACTAGGCTTCCTTCCTTCCTTTCCTCCCTCCCTTTTTCTCCCCTTCCCCATAACATCCAAAGAAAGAAGAAGCTGGCAAAATTAGCCTTTATCCAAGTTTCAGATGGGGGGGGGACATAGGGAGACAGGGCTGTGGACAATACAAATTGTTTGACAACATGCAAATACTTTTGCATACTTCACCCTTAATCCTTTTTTGCATAGGCCACAAAGGGCCCCTCCCTCTTTGACAATGGAAATGTGGCCCAGATCATTTTGTGGCTACTTTTCCTGCCTATGAATTGTTCTTACTGACAGATGCTGCATCTTCCTGACCTGAAGGCTTTGGGCAGTTGAGAAACATGAAATGCAAATGAATAAATTTAACTATCTGGAACTGAGGAGAATTGGGTGGGTGGGTGGTGCACAGCTCTTCAGCTTCTGATGGGTGTATTGGGCAGCGTTGCACCCTGGCTTAGAGAGGCCGGGTGAGTGTCTGTGTGTCTCTGTGGCTGACCAGATGAAGTTAGTTGTGTGTGTGTGTGTATTGGACAATGAGCTCCCAGGTCTTGCAGCTGGAGAGTGCCAGTGCTGTGACCCCTCCAGGAGGGTGGGCCCTCCTGTTTGGGTGTCCTAAGCCTTTACCAGGGAGACAGGATGCCTTTTCCCTGCTGGGGCCGAGAGGGTTCCTCTGGGACATTAATCCTGGATCCTAAACGGGGAGGAAGACCCTTTGCACCTGGCCGGTTCCTCTCCCGTCCCCTCAAAGTTCCTTTTTGCAGTTTTGCATTGTAGCTGTAATTCAAGGCCTTGCAAAGCCAGCTGGCCAACCTGAATGAGCTCTGGGCTCTGTGTGTGTGTGTGTCTCAGTGCTGCTCTGGCAACAGCTGCATTCATTTTTTTGCCTTGTCTTTTTAACCTCTCTCCACATAGTTTGGAGGGTTTTTTTCAATCTTGGCCACTTTAAGACTTGTGGACTTCAATTCCCAGAAGTCCCAGGCCCCCAGAATTCAATCCCAGCATGAATTCTGGGAGTTGAAGTCCACAAGTCTTAAAGTTGCAAGGTTGGAGAACCCTGGTCGAAAGGTAAAGTGTGAATTTGTATGTAAACCACATCTAACACAAATGTAGCCTCCTGTCTCACCTCTTACCTGGGACAGGTGGTTTGAGAGAGGTGGACCCTGTTGATGGCAGCCGTGGGGCTGAATTCAGTGGGGGTGTAAGACTGCTGGGAGGGGGGGGTGTGACTTATTTTATAAGGGCCTGCCCCAATCATGCTGCATCTCACCCTCCTCTCGGTGGGGCTTCTGTTTCTCCCTCCAGCGAGTCGGTGGTCTGCAGCACCCGTGCCACAGTGATGCTTTACGACGATGCCAATAAAAAATGGGTCCCAGCAGGAACTGGTGCCCAGGCCTTCAGCCGCATCCAGATCTACCACAGTCCTGCCAACAACAGCTTCCGGGTGGTGGGCCGCAAGATGCAGCCGGACCAGCAGGTAACTCCCCCGACCTTTAAGCCACAAACGTCTAGGAAGTTTCCTACGCTCCGGCCACCTCTGGCTGGCCCCAGAGTGGGGTGGGAATGGAGATTTTGCAATATCTTTCCCCTCCCACCCCCACCAAGCCACACCCACAGAACAGGTAGTAAAAAAAATTGCATTTCCCCACTGCCAAAATTTCTGTTGCTAAGCGAGACAGTTGCTAAGTGAATTTTGCCCCCTTTTATGACCTTTCTTCACACAGCTAGTTAAGTGAATCACTGCAGTTATTAAGTTAGTATTGCAGTTCTTAAGTGAATCTGGCTTCCCCATGGACTTGTAAAAGGGGATCATGTGACAATCCCCCCCCCTCCCGGACACTGCGACCATCGTAAATTCGAGTCAGTGGCCAATTTTGATCACATGATCCTGGGGATGCTGCAACTGTCATAAATGTGAAAAATGGTTGTGTCACTTTTTACAATGCTGCTGTAAGTTAGAATAGTCACTAAATAACTTTTGTAAGTTGAGGTCTACAATGCTTTGTTAATAAAATTGCAAATTCCCCAAATCGAGCGAAATGTCGTGGGAATGCAGTCCTGAGTCCAGGGGAGCAGAGTCGCTCGCATCCAGAGCTTTTCCTCCGGCTCTGGAGCCCCCCAAATCCCTGCTGGGCCAGTGGTGGGGGGGGGGGCTGAGATGGGTATGCCTGCTGCCAGGAGGGCAGGGCTCTGCACTGGGGCAGCACCCCAAGATCCCCGGGGCCTCTTGAGCTCCGGGTGTCCCGGCTGAGCCCGCTCTGCCCGTGTCTCTGCAGGTGGTCATCAACAGTCCGATCGTGAAGGGGCTGAAGTACAACCAGGCCACGCCCAACTTCCACCAATGGCGGGATGCCCGCCAGGTCTGGGGGCTCAACTTCAGCAGCAAAGAGGATGCCAGCCAGTTTGCCAATGGCATGATGCATGCCCTGGAGGCCCTGGACACAGGTGAGCCAGATGGGCGGAGTGGGGGGCCACTGTGGTTGGGGACGGGGAGGGGAGCTGAGCCAGGGGAAGAGGCCGGGGGCTACAGGTCCCCCAAGTGACACCCTCCAGGCTCTGCAAGAGAAAGCAGCCTCCCAGGCCCTTCCTGCGCCTCTCCCCAAAGGGGGAGGGGGTGTTAGTGGGTTCTCGGGGGGGGGGCAGGTGGGTCTCAAAGCTGGCAGGCGGGGGGCGCAGGGTCTGGAGAAGAGCTGAACTGCTGTTTGGACTCTAAGATGGGGTACCAACCTGTTTTTTTGGTGGGTTGCGTCTCCCCAGGAAACTCGGCACCCCCCCTGCGCCCCACCCAGAACGGACCCACTGCAGATGAACTGGCAGAGCAGCAGAAAAGGTACAGGAAGCCCTGCGAGGTTTAAAAGGGGAGGAGGGAGAGGTTCCTTACAACAAGGAGGAAGTTTCTCTTACTTCATCAAATATTTTCAGATAGGAGCGAAGGGGGAGAAAAGGATTATTGTTCTCACTTTACTTGGCCTTTTGTTTGAACAAGCCACACACTTGAAAAAAATCTTTCCTTTCCCAGAGTGGACGATGCTGGGCTTCCCCTTTGCAGGGGGAATAGGGGGGAACAGGGGCCGCAGGAGACCCCCTTCCCCAGGTCTGGCTCCAAGCCAAACCTTGCACCCGGAGGGTCTCCTTTTGGTGCCCGCTGTGCCTTCTTAGATGCCAGAGGAACTGCCCAGAGCAGTTGAGTGTGTGTGTGTGTGTGTGTGTGTGTGTGAAGGCCCTCCTTGATCAGATTAGCAGCTAATCGGCTTGCAGGGCTGCCTGCTGGGGCAAATGCCTGCTGGGTCGGATGTGCTCCACCTCGTCCCCCCTGGCGATGTGTGGCGTTCCCCTTTCCAGCCTCTTGCCCGAGCCGCCCGTGCCACAGCTCAAGTGAGTGTGCTGCGGCGGTGGGCCAAGGGGGCCCTGGGGGCTTGGGAGCAGGAGGCCTGCCAGGGGGGGCTGCCGGCAGGCACTGAGGCCTCTTCTGCCCTCTTCATCCCAGGCAGCAACAGCAGCTGGAGAAGGAGCAGCTGGAGCAGGCAGAGCGGGAGCGACGGGGGCCCGTCGGAGGTGGGTGCCAGGGCGGGCGGGGGCCTCGTCCCCTACAAGGCTTCCAGGATGGAAATTGGGGAGGTCCCGGGCAGCTCTGCATTGGGGGCCGAGGGCAGGGGTCCCCAGCCTCGGCCACTTTGAGACTCTCAGAATTCCTCAGCCGGCTTTTCAGAGGAAAGAGGGATTCTGGGAACTGAAGTCCACAAGTCTTAAAGTGGCCGCGGTTGGGGAGCCCTACCTTAGGGGACCTCCCCCTGAGAGGCCAAGGACCCCCATTCTACAGGGTGGGGGAGAGAATCCAGCATCCAGACATGGGGGCAGCTGCTCGGAGGGCCCAAAGAATGAGCCGGTTGTGCCCCTCCCCCACTGGGCGCTTGGCAGAAGCAGGCACTTGTTGGGGAAGAGGGTCCTTGGTGCAGGGGTGTGTGTGGGGCGGGGGGTGGACAGGTGTGGGATTTCCTGTTCATTTCCAGCTTTTGGGAAGGGGGCAAGGCTGCCACAGCTGGGGGCTCCCATCTTTCTCTCTCTCTGCTTCTCTTGCTGCAGCCCCTCAGGTCGCCCCTCCAGCAGGGGGCCCTCCACCGCCCCCGGGACCACCTCCAGCCCCCCCTGGGCCGCCCCCTGGACCTCCGGGGCCACCGCCAGGAGCCCACAGTGGCCCTCCCCCTCCTCCTGGGCCACCCCCTCCACCGGGCCCACCGCCTGGTCCTCTGCCGTCAGGAGGGGGGCCACCCCCGCCCCCAGCCCCTCCCCTCCCTGCTTCCCTGGGCCCGGGTGGAGGGGCCGGACCACCCACCGGCTTGGCCGCAGCACTGGCTGGGGCAAAGCTGAAGAAGACGGGCAAGGTGAGTCAGAGATTGGAGGAAGGAAGAGGGGCTGCGTGTTGGGAGGGTGCTGGCTTGGGGGAGGCCACTCACTCTCCCCAACTTTCCTCTTTTGCAGGAGGAAGGAGCAAAGCCCACACCTGGTGGAGGAGCCCCCCCTAGTGCTCCCGGGGGAGGGGGGCTGATGGAAGAAATGAGTGCCAAGTTAGCCAGGCGGTGAGTGGACAGAGCTGTGGGGGGGGGTGTTGCCCATTGTGAGGACAGCCTGGCTGTGTGGACTTCTCAGGTTGTGGGACTTTGCCCCCCGCCCCCCATCAAAAGGGTCTGTAGAAGATGGGGGGGGGGGGCTTGCAATGTAAAAAGAATTCTTGTGTCCCTGAAAGTCAGTTTTTTTGCTGCTGGGTTTCAGCTGCAGAATCTGGGGCTGGGGTCTCCCATACAGCCGATGGCCTGCATTGACTTTGCCATATGCCTTGGGCCTGAGGCATTCTGGCACTCCCCTCCCCCCTGGGAGCAATTTTGGTCCCTCCTCCCCCGCATACTTTTAAACACAAGCCGGGTGGTCTTGTCTGCCCACAGAGGGGCGGTACAAAGAGGAATCTTCCTGTTTTTCCCCCCTTACCCCCCCCAGAAGGAGAGTTACAGAGCAAAGTGAGAAGGTCATTCCAAAGAAGGAGGAAGGCCCTTTGCACGTGAGTCTGAGTGGGGCCCCCAAATGGACTTTCCCACCCTGATCCCTCTGAGGGCAGGGCCTGCCAGGTGCACGTTAGCTGGGCTGGAAGCAGGGGTGGCTGCCTGGCCCTGGGATGCCAGGGGCCAATCAATCTCAAGTCAGTATAAGGGGGGTATGATAATTTTATTAGAAAGAAAGGGTCAGTATATGGAGATGGAGTAAGTGGATAGCAAAGTATGATATAATCTGTTATGAATTTGGGTTTATTATGAAGAAGTCAAAGGGGAAGGGGGGGTGAGGGGGGTTAGGGAGGAGGGGGGGGGAAAGGGGGGAAAATTTGTATTTGAAAAACTTTTTCAATAAAAAAAAAAAATCTCAAGTCAGGCCAGCGCCCCCGCCCGCTCTCCCGCCCTTGGGCCCTCGTGGTGGTGGTGGTGGTGGTGGTGAGGGACCCTGAGGGCGAGTCGGGAGCTCCCTGACCTTTGTCCCTCTCTTTTGCCCCCAGCAAGAAGATGCGGATGCCACTGGTGCCAAGCCCACAGGTGGGTGAAAGGGGGCTGCTGCAAGAGGCCCCCAAGGCACCTCTGATCCCTGGGCTGCCCCCCCCGCCCCACCCCACCCCCCCGGATCAGCACAGGCAGGGAGGTGACAAGGCAGCTGTATTCACACAGCTCACTGAACCCGGTTACTGAATCGGCCCATTTCCTGGGTTTGTCCAACCTGCTGAAACACACACCGAGGTCCTGGAAAGAAAAGTAGCTCTCTCTGGCAGGTGGTGTGAATGTAGTCAGCGTGTTTGCAACTAGTGAAGGAGAGCCAAATGGGTCCCTTCCCCTCCCGCCTCGGAGCAAATGGCCAGGTCTCCCCAGAGCATAGTCAGAGTAGCCACAGTCCACAGTCCAGCTGTCTGGGTGGGTCTCTTTTTAAGGCTTACCCCCCAACCCCCCCCCCCCCCAAAAAAAAGAACTGTGAAACGTTTTCCATCCATTCCTTCCTCAAACAGCAGAGAGTTATGGAGAATCTCTGCTGTCTTTCCTTCCAAAAACGTTCTAGTCCTCATGATTGAGGGAGAATCTTGGAAATAAGAGATTGTGAAAGAACCCCCCGAAATGTAACCCCATCACGCTTTGATCTGTGTCATGTATGAGAAGACGAGAGCAGCTCCATAGTAAGAAATAGCTCAGCAAGTGAGCCCAGCTGCATGGAAGCTTTCAGTGCTGGAGTTCTATCAGGGGGAAAAGAGAGAAACAGGACATCGGGCTGAGGGGCTGGGTTGCTTCCCTTTCTGTTCGCAAAATGGAAGAATCGCTCCGAGTGAAGGATCTGGATGGCAGCACGAATGGGGAAGACCTCGCACCCAAAACACGCTCCCCACAATCGTCCCTCTCTTGGTCATTACAGATGCCTTCCGGAGACCTTGGGAGAAGTCCAGCACGACATTACCCAGGTGAGGGGCACCTCCCCCCCCGTTACTCCTGACACCCCTGCAGTGGGAGGGGCTCTTCTGCCCCCCTCCCAAGCCACGTTCCTCGCAAGCAGCCCCAGCTGAGCCTCCTCGTGCGCACGCAAGGACCCCTCCCCAATCCTCCCCACCTGCAACTGAGTCTCTCTCTTCCCCCCATCAGGACAGCCGTGAGCCAGAAGACCACTGCACCCCCCGTCACAGGTCGGCCACAGTTCGGCCACTTTAGGTATCAGGCAGGAGGGGCTGGGAAGCCAGATACCTGCAGCAGGGAGGGCAACTTGAACAGTGGACTTCAACTCCCAGAATTCTGGGAGTTGAAGTCCACCGGTGGTCCACAGGAGCCAACCCCTGCAGAAGTTGGGGGCAGCAGCTTCTCCACTTGACCCTAACCCCATAACAGCCATGGTGGCGCAGTGGTTAGAGTGCAGTACTGCAGGCTGCTTCTGCTGACTGACTGCTGTATGCAATTTGGCAGTTCGAATCTCACCAGGCTCAAGGTTGACTCAGACTTCCGTCCTTCCGAGATCAATAAAATGAGGACCCAGATTGTTGGGGAGTGGGCAATAGGCTGACTCTGTAAACTGCTTAGAGAGGGCTGTAAAACACTGTGAAACGGTATATAAGTAAGTGCTATTGCCATCCAGGCTGGCAATAGCACTCCTGCCAGGGGATTGTTGACTGGAGGGGCTCCAGCTGAGAAGGTTGGGGTGTGGGCTCTCCTTTTGACATGCCCACCTCCCAAGGCCCAGTCTCAGGGCAAGAACAGGACCCCTTCCTGCCCCTGCTGGCATCAGGCCAGAGGACAAGGCTTGAATGTCTAGCAAGCCAGAAAAAAGGAACCAGACCCACCACCAGGGTGAAAATTGTGTCAGTAAGAGGGTCCCGGCCCCTTCAACCCCTCCCCCATCTCCTTTTTCCCAGAGCCTGCTAGTTTGAGAGCTGCTGGTGCCCACATCTGGCTGCTTTTGCTTCTGGGTCCCCAGCTTTGCTCCTCTCCAGCTGTTCCCAAAGCTCCTCCCCCTCCTACATCTGGGTGGAAGAGAGCCGTCCTCCCACCCCTCTCTGCTTCACGGTTTTCAGCTTGGAGATGCTTGCTGGAAGGCTGGGCATCTGTGCCCGTCTGCTTTGGAATCCGTCTCCCTGGTCTCCCGCCCCTCCCCAAAGGGCCTTGGGGTCCATCTTCTGCGAGGGCGAAAGTTGACTGTGCCTCAATGCACCCTGTCCATCCTCTGCCAATAAAGGAGGATATTTGTAGCTCAGGTTTGAAATGGGGGGTCCTTGGGGCTCTCGGAGTTTGATGGCTTTCTTGCAGACGTTTTATGGCCCAACTAGGTAACAACATCAGTGCTAGGGATGTTACCTGGTTGGGGTAATAAAATGCCTGCAAGAAAACCCCCAAACTCAGAGGGCTCCAAGGATCCTTTGCTCATCTCTCTGCAAACAAGCAGTTCGTTGCCCCCTGCCAATCCTGAACCCCTTGCCGGGCCTGGAAGGCGTTGGAATGGCCCTGCTGGGGATTCTCAGAAGGGGGGGGCACCTGGAAAGATGGCCGTGTTCCTGACCCTGCCCTTTTCCTCACCGTCCCAGGATGAAATCTGCCGGCGCCATGACGGCCGGGGAGCCCGCGGGGGGCGCAGGGGATGAATCCGAGCTGGAGCGGGTGAAACAGGTGAGCCCACGGCCAGCCCTGGCGCCTCAGCTGGATGCCGCTGGAGAGCCTTGTGCAGCCTGGTTCATACACAATTGGACCCTCGTGCCATGCGTGCTTCAGGGCTAGCAGGGCCTGGTGGGGGTCGGGAGAAGGGGGCTCTCGGACCAGCAGCACTGCTGGTTTCAGAAGGTCCTGGGTTGAGTGCTGTAGGACTCCAGCCTTGCAGTTTCTCCCCAGCTTCCTTGTTGCAAGTCTCTCTCTCACACACACACACAGACACCCCTACACAAAGTCACAGGCTCCTTTTCCTAAATGTGTGTTCTTCCAGGAACTTCTGCAGGAGGTTCGGCGCGAACTACAGAAGGTCAAAGAGGAGATAATCCAAGGTGGGTTGGCAGTCAGCCAGAAGGCCCCGAGGGTCACCGAGGGGAGGGCAAATCCTCACCTTCCCGGCCCAGACCAGTGCCCCCCCCTCAAGAGTGGGGCAGCTGCTGTGCCCCCATGGCCGAGCTGGAGCAGGACAAGAACGGCCATGCGCTCTTCCCGGGGGAAAGCCCCACTGGAGGAGGGCCCCCCCCCAGACTGTGTCAGGGGAGAAGCACTGAGGGATAACCCCCCCAGCTCTGCCTGGGGACAGTTTGGGGGGTCCCAGGGTAGAGAAGGCTGTGCTCAATCGTCCGAAACTGACCCCTGAGCATTTCTCCCCCCCTTACAGCATTCATCGCGGAGCTTCGGAAAAGGGGGTCTCCTTAGCCCCCCGACCCAGCCGGTGCCACCCGGAGTCAGCAGCCTAATTCTCCCTCGTGTGCAGAAGAGAATAAAATGGAAAATCACAAAGGCCCCCTCCTCACCTCTCTGGCCCTCACGCACTAGACAAGCCCCACCCCCCCTCCTGTCGGCTCCCACTGTGCAATTTTGGGGTGGGGGAAGAGGGACAATCCGTGCTGGCCCCCACCCCGGGAAGGGCAGGACCCCCACCTGTGCCTTACCAAGAGCAATAGCAGAACCCTCCTCCTGACCCCCCCCCCAAGGAAGGAAGTGGGCTCTTTCCCTGGCGGAAGGGGCTCCCCTCTCCCCAGCCCAGGAAGTCCCTCTGCTCCCCCCTCCCCATTTTTGGCTCTTGGACAAGAACTGTTTGGTTTCCTCCCCACCCAAGGGGCGTGTGCTGCCCAGCTGAAGGAGGGACTGGTAAAGGGCCCAGGGAGATGCTCTCGCAATTGGAGGCCCTCCCTTCTTGCAGCTGGGAAGGGCCGGGCAGTTCTCCCGGGTGGGGTCCCATCTCCTCCCGCCCCTCCTAGGAGCATTTAAGGGCCCTCTCCATCTTCCTCCTGCAGAAGAGGCGGCATAAGTGATGGTCAGAGCGATGGAGAGCCGGGTCCAGGGCTGCCCCGTTGCAGCTGGCAGGGGAGCCTCGGCTGGGATGCCCCTGCCAGCCCCTCAAGTTAGGAGCGCTGCTCCTCCTGGGGGACATGCCCCACCTCGAAAGATGGCGCTCTTCTGGGCAAGGGAAAGGCCCTGCCCCCCCCCGCTTCCCAAGACCCTTTCCGCATTCCACGTCTTCTGCTGGTTTCACTCGGTTTTGTAACTCTTTGATTTTATGCAAGGGGAGAGGGCCCTTTTTAGGATATTTTTTCTCAAAGGCCCCCATCCCTCTGGGTCTTTTTTTAAAAATAAACGTTTTTTCTTCTCCCTTCTACCTCCTTCAGGCCATGGAGGGAAACAGGGCGGGTTCTTGGCTTTTCTACTGAGCTGTAATTTTTTGACTTTGTTTTTGTCAAGCTGGATAGAATATTATATTTTGATTTTATTATTATTATTATTACTGATCTGCTGGGTATCTCTGCCCGACTTCTTTCCACCCTTCCGCCTCACCGCACGCATCGCCTGCAGACGGGCACTAGGATCTCGGGCACGTCCACCAGACTTCTCTTACAAATAAATCTTTTCCTTTTTTGTAAAGTTACAAGGCGCTTGGGTGTCTGCATGTTTCCTTCCGTTGAGCTTTGGGGAACAGGTGGCAAGAGGTGAGGGCAGAATTCCTCTGGGTTTCAATACTCAGCAAGGACTTGGAAAAACCTACACCCATGGGGGCAGGATTGAAGGGCATGGGGGGGGGTTGTGAGGAGGGGGGGCAGCATTACAGGCTTTGTTCACAATATACAGGCAGACCTCGACCAGCGACCATGAGCTTGGAATTTCCATTGTAAAATCATGACAGTCGTAAGTCAAAGCCCCCACATGCCTGCACCTGATTTTACAATCACCAGTCTCTGTAGATTCTTATTTCTGCCCCTTAAGCCAGGGGTCTCCAAACCTGGCCTCTTTAAGACTTGTGGGCTTCACCTCCCAGAATTCCCCAGCCTGCATGGCTGCTTGAAATCCACAAGTCTTAAAAGTGGCCAGGTTTGGAGACACCCCTCCCCCCCTTTAAACAGAAGCAATAGAACTGCTCTTTAAGACCTTATTTTAGAGCTCTTAAATCAGAATATTTTTGCAAATAGCAATTACAGCAGGTTATTGCAATCACAGGTGTGAATCTTCGTGATAACAGGGTTGCATAAGATTTGGGCTATTGGTTATTGCCAAGTAAAGGGGGCACAGACTTATTAAAATGGCAGCTAATCCACAGTGCCACCTTAGGCTCACCCAGAGTGAGGCAGGCCCTCTTCACCTCCAAGATAAAATACTGTAGCAGGCTCCATAGGGGACCTGCCTTTGAGGACTCAAAAATGCAGCTGCTGGCAGGTGAGATTTAATCCATCCGCACCACTCCCATCAATTTCTGATGCAACACAAAGCATCAGTTTTGAACTTTCAATCCTTTAACCCAGGGTTGCTCCCTGTGTCCTTTGGTACTTAAAGGCTACTCAATTCACGGGATCCATAGTTGCAGCATCCAGGTATAACGGTGTTTGAGTGACTTGTAAAAGAACAATGCCATTTTTAAACTTCACTAGGCTGCTTTGCTATCATAAAGCCTCAGGAATTATTAGCAGAGCAACTCAAAAGGGGGGGGGGGCTGATTTCTTTAGCATGAGGGAAGTACTTTAAAGATTTTTCATAGCAAGAGAAAGCAAAGTTTTTTAAGAGTTTGGTATTAAAGACACATTCATAGCTTTAAAAAGCAGGGCTGCTTAGAGTACCTTCTGAACCAAGCATGCATTCTGAAGACACATCTGTGGCCTGGGTCCTTTCTCAAAGCAGTTGTTCCAGGTGACCCCTCCTGGTTAAATAACCAAATTAAAGGTGGGGACGGTGTCTGTTCCTGTTGTTGTAACCTGAGTGGGAACACCTTTTCCCACTGCCCTGGAGCTTTTCGGCTAAAGTCAGAAGCAAAGAAGATTGTCGGGCTCTTCCCGACCCTGAAAAAGTCTCTTGGATGGGTTTGGTCACCGCTGCAGCTCCCCTGCATTTTGGTTGGAAGTCATGATAAAAACAATCAAATCCTTAAACTGGTAAGGATGGAAAATATGGAGCCCAGGAAGACATCTGGGTTTGATTGGGAACTGTCCAGAATTGGTTATACGATGGAAGGTTATTTAAATGTTTTAATAAATCCAGCCACAAACTCTATAAACCAGGGATGCCCAACCTTGGCAACTTTAAAACTTGTGGACTGGTTGGGGGAATTCTGGAACCTGAAGTCCACAAGTCTTAAAGTTGCCAAGGTTGGAGACCTCTGCTAAAAACTGAACAAGATGCTGAATGTACCACAACTCCCAGCAGCCCCAGCCAGCACAGCTAATGAATGGTGAGGGATACTGAAGCTTTGGACCTCCAAATGCTATGGACTGACAGGAAATGTTGCTGCCACAAGAATTTAAGAACAAGGAACAATCATCAACTATCTGATGGACTCGGCTATAGTGGCAATGGGTGCTGGTAATCCTCAATTTACAACCATTCATTTAGTGAAGTCTGAAGTTAAGATGGTCCAGAAAAGTGTGATTTATGCCTAATCCTCACACTTATGACCAATAGCAGCACCATGGTCACGTGATCAAAAGCCAAGCGTTTGGCAACTGGCATGTATTGCAGTATCCAGGATCACCTGATTAAAATCTGCAACCTTCCCACAACCAGTCATTGGAGGAAGCCAGATTTGCTTAATGACAACAAGATTCACTTAACAGCTGTGGCAAAAAAGGTTGTAAAATCAGATGCAACTCAACCCCTTGCTTAGGGATGGAAACTCTGGTCCCAACGTGTGGTTGTAAATTGAGGACTACCTATACACCGAGACACCATGGAAGGACATCTATGCAAGAAGCCGAACTATGGTGGCATTTCTCACGCTGACTAGGGAATTCTGGGAGTTGAAGCCCCCGCTTCTTCAAAATTGTCCCGGTCGAGAAAGACCTGATCTGTGGGGTTGCTAATGTTGATGCATCCTCATCTGCTTTCCAAATCTCCGGCCTGCTTCCTGATAAATCCACTTCCCTGCCCAGGAGAGCTGAAATGCTGCCTTCCCTCCGAAAAGCGCAGCTCTGTCCTGGGGCTGCAACCGAAGGCGCCTCTTTGTCCTGGGAAAGCGAGGAGGGGCCGGAGCCATCGCAGGTCGTCCCCGGCGCCGACGGAAGGAAGGGACCGGGTCTTTCTCTGGCTCTTTTAATTGATCCGGTATTTACACTCGAGGAAAAGGCCAGGCCGCTCCGTTGGGACCTGCATCTCAGCCCCCCGAATCCTAACCTTCCCGCGCCGACCGCTCCCCCGGCGGCCCGGATCCCGATCCCCCCGGGGGCGCCCCGAGGGGGGCAGGCGGCGGCTTCTTGGGGGGGGCGGCGGCGGAGACCTCCACCAGCACCCGGTTCGTCTCGCGCAGCCGGGCGTCCAAGGCCTCCAGAGCCAAGCCGAGCTCGGCCACCTGCTCCTGCAGGCCCAGCAGGGTGCAGCTCAGCTCCTCCTCCTTCTTCTTGGCGTTGCTGCTCTGGCGGGAGTACTCCAGGAAGATGCACAGCCCGCCCACCCCGAAGACGATGGCCTCGCCCAGCAGCTCGGCGCCCAGCTCCGCCGCCGCCTCCTCGTTCAGCGGCTTGATGGCGGCGCCCCGGAAGCCCATGATGCGCATCTTGGCCCGCATCTCCACCCAGTGGTAGACTGCAAGGGAAGGGAAGGGAAGGGGGGGGGTCAGCCGGCACGCAACGGAGCGGGAGCGGGGCCGCAGGGGGGCAGGGGGCCCGGGCAGACCCCTCCTCTGCACCGGCCGGGCCCACCGCCTCCCCCCCCCGCCGCCGCCCTGGCACCCCCGAGACGGGCGCGGGCGCCCAAACCCGGCCCAGGCACTTCAGCGCCACCTTCGTCGGACGCGCTAAGCGTCCCTGAGCCGAGACGCCGGGACCCATTTGCAGCGCCGCCCGTCCAGGTAGACCGCTCCTGGGGCTGGAGGCTCGACGGCCGCCCCGCGTGCCGCCGCAAAGTCACCTTCCTCGCTCGGCGCCTGCGCGCCCCGACCCGCCCGCCCCATTGGCCGCCCCCGCCGCGGGCCCCGCCCCCTCCCGCTTCCCATTGGCCGGCCGCGCGCGGCGGGCTGCTCCGGAGCCGCTTACTCACGCTGCGCGGGGGGACCGCAGATATACTGGCGGAAGAAGGGGCTGGCGCGGGCCCCGTCCTTGATGCGCGCCGCCAGGGGCTTCGAGAGCTGCCGGACGCCCAGGTAGAGCAACTTGGCGATGGGGAAGGCGCCGGCCACCATCCTCGCGCTCCCAGCGGGCCCCGCGCGGAGCGGCCCGCCAACGTCGAGCCCGCTGACTCCGGCACGCTCCCCGCGCCCCGCCCTTTGCGTAGGCCTCTGGCTCCGCCCCGCGTATGCAAAATACACCTCATGAATATGCAAATGTGCCCCTCCCACACTCCCTCCGGACGCGGCAGCAGCGTGAGGCGCGGAGCCTGTGCCCAGGTGCTTCGTTTAATCATGAATTTATAAATTATGGCGTCCGTTCAAGCGTCGAGGCAGGTAGTGTGCGTGCGTGTGTGTGTGTGTGCCGAGTTTTCCTTGCCTCTCCCTCAACTTCCATACCGGAGGGGAAAGGGTGCCTGCTCGCTTCCGGTGTAAGCCGGAAACCACCCGTCATAGAGACGGCGGGGAGGTCGGGCCGGGTGGCCCTTGGCTGGCGGACCATAGAGATACGCAGTAAAGCGGACCGCCCGCGGGCGCCCTCCTGTTTTATTTGCCTCCGGGAGGACCCCGAGAAGCCTCCTCCGCCCCCCCCCCGGGTAAAGCTTTGGGTTTGTGGTGGAGGGCCGGAGAAGAGCGGCCAGCCTACTGCAGGAGGCGGGACTCCAAGGCCCATCATCCTGGGCCAGGAGCCGCGGTCCCCCAGACGTTTCATGACCAACTAGGCAATCAGTGCCCAGACAGCCAACCTCGGAGTGCACTGATGACATTACCTAGCTGGGTCATGAAACGTCTGCAAAAAAGCGCACCAAGCTCGGAGGGCACCAAGGACCCCAGCAAGCTCAACCCTGAGCTACGAAGGTTCATTGAAATGGGCTGGTCTTGGGGTTGGGGTTCCGTTCATGAAAGGAGGATATCCCCCGTTACCTGGCAGGAAGTTTAACTTCCGGCTGAGTAACTCCACGTGCTCAGGAAAGCAATGAAGCGAGAATAAAGGCCCGGCTGAGTAAATGAGGCGTGGAGATGGGTGGTGCCTCGACTTTGGGTCGACTTTGCAGCTTTAGGTCCTAGGAAGAGCCCTGCGGCAGGCATTTTCTGGCCAGGAGACTGACCACATGCTCGTCTCTCCCCATGGGGTCACCCCAGACCCTGTGAATGCAGATTGCAGGTGGTTAGGGGAGAAAGAAGGGTCAGGGCATCCCAATGTTAAATCCATTTTCTCTCTGCCCTTTTTAGGTGCTGCCACCTTCTTTGCCAGAAGAACTAATTGGCACCCTCGGAGGGTGCAGCTGCCAAGCGAAACCACCAAGCAGAAAAGGAAACCCTCCGGCAGGTTAGTTCCAAGACTGCCAAACACCCAGGACTTCAAACACGACTCCCTTTGTTGAAAGGGTCTGGGGAATTTATTACATCCTGTGTGCACCACAGCCCATCTGGAGTAAAATGTCTGGAGATTCTCAGTCATCCAGGTCATGGTTGTCCCAAAGGTGCTTTTCCAAAAGGCATCTGGACTTCCTTGTTTTTTTTCCTTGAAAACGTTTCACTTCTAAAGAACTGAAGAAACTTCTTGGATGAGAAGCAAAATGTTTTCAAGAAACACCCCCCCCCCAAAAGAAAGTCCAGTTGCCTTTTGGAAAAGCACCTTTGGGACATGCCAGAGTTAAAGTTGAAATGAGGCGTTTCAGGTCCCAACCCTGGGAAAGTCAAAAGGACCGACCTTCCTTTGCTCTGCCCCTCACGCAGGCGACTGTGTCCTCTTATCGACATTCCAGCAGCCGGAGGATCCAGCCAAGAGAGAGAAAGCTAAATAAACAGCCGTTCTGACATTCGCCCTCAGAACATCTGGGGAGCTGCAAGATTGGAGATTTCAGGGAGGAGGGTAAACCCTCCTTCGCCAGTAGTGATGGCGCTCCCTTCTTGTCCCTGTGGGGGCGGGCATGTTTTAGGCTACCAGATCCCAAGGCAAGGCATGGCTGAGATTGAGGGATGCCTCCTCTCCTCCTCTGCAGAGCTCTGTCCACTGGCCTCACCTTTGGCCTCTCGTGTTTATTCCCAGGAAGCCTCTCTGTCCAGTGGCCCTCAGTAAGGCTAAGATTAGGCTGTTCTCATCTTGGAATGTTATTGATGCTAATCTTTCTTTGTCATGCATTCCTGGAAGAGAGAGTCATCCGTGGGGTAACTTGCCAGAAGTCCACATTGATTTTGGATCAGGAGAATTTTTGGAAGCAGCTGACATGCCTTATATCTTGTCCCATACAAAGGGCTGATTCACAGAATGTAACACTACATATATGCGGTAAATTTAGCTATTCTGGGGGAAGAAATACTATTCTTACCTCATCTCTGCTGACATAGATTAATATCCATCCCACGCTCATTCATAAACATGCATTGAAGGGATAATTAAAAGTCCACCCTTTCATGAGTTCTTAAATAATCCAGCTGTGAATGTAACAGGGAGCCATGAAAGCAGGTCAGCTGACTTCTCAGGCAGACTGGAATCGAGGGTCCCACCCAGACCGAAAAGCCTACAGATGCGAACATGCATTAGTCTCTTTCTGCACAATTGGAAGCAATTCCAAATTCTCCTGTTTTAGAAAGGAGTACCCACTGAGAGCTGCCGCCTTCTGGGAGGAAGACTGGTTCCTCCTGCTCTTCCCTTTGGGTGACGGATCAGGCCAGGCTGAGACTTACGGTAATTATGGGACAACCAATTGTGGCCTCTGAAAGTGTTCTGTTAATCACCCTTCCAGAAACTCCCTGTCTTCGGCTTCCTGTCCTGACTAGGAGATGGGAAAGGATAACAGGCTAAGGAGAAACAGACGCGGGTGATTGTTTTTGTGTTTGAAGGGCCCTGGGGAAGCATCTGCACTGGGAACTGCTAGCCCTGGTTTGATCCATGCGCTCGTTTCAGCTAAGTGGGTTGTTTAAAGAAGCCAGCGTAAATTGGACAAGAGAGAAAAATCAAGAAGTTCCCAGCTCTGCTGCACAGGAACCAGTGTGAATGGCAACTCGTGGCTCAAGCCTTATTGCTGCTAATCTCTAGATAAGGGGATTTTTCTGTCGTCCTTGGAAACCTTTCCCTGATGCTGTCCAGATGCCATTGGACGGTGGCTTCCAAAGTCATGAACAGCCCTTTGACTGGGCTACCTGGAAATTGAATGGAGGAAGGCTGCCCTAATGGAAGTGGCTGGTTTGGAGCCGTGCAAAAGCGATGAAGGGGAAGAGCGAGCCCAGTGCCAGGACCCCGTTGCTGCTTTCTCATAGAAGGGGAACTTGTAGAAGGGACTGAGAATAGGGCCAAAGTGGCTTTTATAACCTTATATGGTAAATTGTGGGATGTCGTGTCACATGGTAGGCCGCTGGGAATCAGGGTAGTTTTATTGTTTGTGTCCATTATGGGACACAATCCGGCTGGCCTCAGCACATGAAATCTGATGGAGCTTTGGCTGTATCCCCGGGCCCTATCTTTATGTGATACAACATGGCCTCAGTGATGAGGTGCTGCTGTGCCATCTGACAATATGAGGGGAAAATTGCTCTCCTTGCTGTAGCGTGGAAGTGGTTTGTATGCTTGGAAGTGTTAGACGAATGCCAGGCATTGTTATCAGTGGAACATGTGACAGAAACGTGCTCAGACACAGGGCTGTTTTAAATGGTCGTAATATTATTTCTGGCTCTTAAAGAATCGTCTGGATGCCGCGTGGCAGAGACCGGCTGCTTTCCCAGGAACAGTCACCGGTTAAAAGTCAGGATCTTCATGTGGAGATCCTCGTCTCCCATCCCCAACCTGCTGGCCTGCGAGGAGGGGGGCAGTGGGAAGGCCAGGGGCTGCCGGCAGAAGATGGTCTTCTTGGTGGACAGAGGTGTGTCGAGAGTGAGCGAGGCGCTGGCCATCTCCTGGGGCTTGGAGCTGGTGAGGAAGCGCACCAAGGTGGAGAGGGCCTTGGTCACATCGCTCCGGGCTCCTTCGTTGGCAAAGCAGTAGAGGATGGGGTCCGCCACGCAGTTCAAGCTGGTGAAGGCCAAGGAGGTGTGATAAGCCACAAAGACCTTCTCCTCAAAGCTGCAGTCACCCGGCTTGCTCAGGTAGACGGTGCTGCGGGAGAGCAGGATGAGGTGGTAGGGGGCGAAGCAGAAGAGCAGGATGGCGATCAGGCTGAGCGAGAGGCGCTTGATCTTCGCCTTCTCCTGCTTCTCCGTGGAGACGTTGCCGCGCACGGCCCGCAGGATGCCCTGGTAGGAGAAGAGCATCAGCACCCAGGGGAAGAGGAAGCCCAGGAAGACCCGGTAGAGGTTCATCCAGGCCACCCACTCCTCCATGGGATACTTCTCGAAGCAGAAGGTGTGGTTGTAGCGGTCGTGGAAGAGCTCGTCGTGGAACAGCGGGGCAGAGTTGGCCCCGATCTCGATGGTCCACACCACCACGCTGACGGCCACCGCCGTCTTGACCCTCCGGAACTTGGCGAAGCGCAGTGGATGGGCCACGGCCAGGTAGCGGTCCACCGAGATGCAGCAGAGGAAGGCAATGCTGATGTAAATGTTGGTGTAGAAGATGAACCCGAAGAGCTTGCAGGATTCCTGCCCGTGGATCCAGTTGTCGTAGTGGAGGAAGTAGTCGATCCAGAGGGGCAGCGTGGCGATGTAGAGCAGGTCCGCAATGGACAGGTTCATCAGGTAGACGCCCAGCTCGTTCTTTTGCCGGACCTGCAGGTAGGCCGCCCAGAGGGCCATGCAGTTGGTGGGCAGACCCAGGGTGATGACGATGATGTACAAGGTGGGCGGGAAGAGGTGGTCTATCCTGGAGTCCACAGGGCAGCTCCAGCTGGCTTGGCTGGTGTTGCACATCCTGGGGGGTGGTGGGGGAGGGGGGCGTCTTCCTGGATCCTAGCTCACAGCAGGATTTTGCGTGGCTGGGTGTGGGGTCTCCACAGAACCACGCAGGCTGCCGAAAGGAGGTTCCTGGAGCTGCCATGAGGAAAGGTCTCCATCATCGCCCTCTGATCTCCGGGGTTGGCCTCTCACCCCGTGGCCTTTCCTGGCTTCTCAGACCTGGGGGAGAGAAAGAGAGACGGGTTGGCAAAGTCACACGGCATGGTTGAGTTCAGAGCATCAGTCACAGAGAAACTCCATGGGCCAGAGAGCAGAGAACGGCGGGAACTGTGCCAGGGGATGGGCTTGTACAAGGAAAACACATGGTGCTTTCCTGGATGTTGAGCCTTAAAATAATGATTTTAATGCAAGGAGCCATCAAGTCCAGCCCTTGCTTGTTCCCTGTGGGAACTAAAACTGAAACCTTTCTGGCAAATGTCTGCTCAGCATCTGCCTGAACACAGATTGCATCCCCCACAGAGGAGACCCTGACCCCCCCCCCTTGGTCCTATGGATCCACCATCAAATTGGTCACACTCTGAGGGAACCTCATGTTTATTTGGGATGGTAAAGAAAATGTGTGTCCTTACTCAAGAGTATCCCATCCCTCTCCGTTTACTTGCAGATGTTATGGAGTTTGTTCCCTGTTGATATACCATAGCTTCCCCTGTCTGTGTTGGTTGGGGTGTGATGGTAATGAAACATCTGCAAGCAAACCACCAAGCTGAGAGAGCACCAAGTACCCCGCAGTTCAACTGGAGCTACATATGTTCTCTTCGGAAGGCTGGACACAGCCTCACTGTCTCCTGGCAGAACATGAATTCCAACCCTGATGTTACATACATGCACACATGCCTTTGAAAATGGTTGTGCAGCTTCAGATGGGAGCTGGGAAGCCAAGAAGTCCTTTCTCAGGGCAGGGGAAAGAGCCTTTGGGTCCTCCGGAGCGTCTGAGAACAGGGGGGTCATTGTCCTAGACTAAAGTGTCTCAAGGCTCTTCCCTATTTTTACCGCAACACACAAACATGCCCGGACCCTGTTTCTGCCCCGGGAAGCATATCCCTTCTTCTGTCTAGATCGGTGGCCTGAAACCGAATTGCTGCCAGGAATGAAACCAGCACTGGTGACTCGAATACTCACGATCCATGGTTGTCAGCATGGCAATTTTGGGAAGAAGGGGCCATATAGAGAGAGGGGGCCCTCCCCATTCTTCTCAACGTGACATGGGCCATTGGAAAGGGGGGGGCATGCATGGAAGCGACCTGTGAGCTGGTGTAGCAAATTGGGAAGAAGAAGCACCCGAGGAAATAGAGCTGCGGTTGAAATGCAGGACCCTAAGAGGATTTTCCAAAGTCTCAACATCTTTTTTGTAATCACCATATTACAAAAAAGATGTTGAGTCTTTGGAAAAAGTGCAGAAAAGGACAACCATGTCCATTAAAAGCCTGGAGACTAAAACCTATGAAGAACAGTTGCAGGAACGGGGTATGGCCAGTCTAGAGAAAAGAAGGACTAGGGGGTAACATAAGTGTTCCCATATCTAAGGGGCTGCCACAAAGGGGGGGGGGGAGTGTCAACTTATTTTCCAAAACACCAGAGGGCAACACATGAAACAATGGATGGAAACTGATAAAGGAGAGAAGCAACCTGGAATTAAAGAGAGACTTCCTGACAGTGAGAACAATTAGCCAGTGGAACAGCTTGCCTCCAGAAGTTGTGGGGGCTTGAGGTTTTTAAGAAGAGACTGAAATGGTATAGGGTCTCCTGCTTGAGTAGCGGCTTGGACCAGAAGACCTCCAAGGTCCCTTCCAGCTGTATTCTCCGTTCTGAAGATCAGAGCTCCTGGATGAAAGTTGTACAGTCCAGACTTTGAAGGAGACAAAAGCTGCCTTGGGACAGGCAGGAAAGCAGTTGGTCCACTCCTCATTGGTGCAGCCTTCCCACTCCCTGGCCCTGCAGGGGAACAAAAGGGAGACCACCAGTTGCCGTGAGCAGCCAGAACTGGGGCAAAACTGGAAATCACCTTGAGTCCCCCCCCCTTTCTCCTTCCCTTGGCAGCTCAACCGTTTTTTCTGGCTCACACCACGTGGTGATTCTTTGTTACTCTCGCTCAGACCAGGTATTTTTCTGTTTTGCCTTTTCAATAGGCACACCTACATTATCTAAACGCCACATTATAAGCAAGAGCCACGGTGGCGCAGTGGTCAGAGTGCAGTACTGCAGGCTACTTCTGCTGCCTGCCAGCTGCCTGCAATTTGGCAGTTCAAATCTCACCAGGCTCAAGGTTGACTCAGCCTTCCGTCCTTCTGAGGTGGGTAAAAGGAGGACCCAGATTGTTGGGGACAAGAGCCTGATTCCGTAAACCGCTTAGAGAGAGAGGGCTGTAAAGCCCTGTGAAGTGGTATATAAGTCTTAAGGGCTATTGCTAAGACTGAAACTTGAAAGCAGAATTAGAGAGCCTTATTCACAGAAAATGTGCCGAGGGGCTTTCCTGCTTTCCAAAGTGGGTCACCGAGTCAGATGGGGCTCAAAGGGGGTCTCAGAAGACCCCCGAGCTTCCCACGAGGGGTTCAGTCTGTGGGTGGGAGGGGCAGGAGGACGTTGGAAGTCCTCTGCTGAAAGCTTTAAGAGTGCAGACGGAGAATCTGTCCGGGTGTTCCTCTCGCATAACTGCACACTGAGCCAGCAGCAGGCTTAGCACTGCTGGGTTTCCCCAGAGTCAGCCGTCTCCCTGCAGATGGTGCAATCGGGCACAGCGGAAATCTGCATCCGTGTGCAGCCCCCCCTCCCCCTCCCCCCCCATCCTAGGAGGCTTCGTACGCATGAAGCTCTAAACATGGAGCCCCGCTGCTGTCAAACCATTTCTCAAGGAAGGGCAGGTTCACTATGCAGAAATGACTCCTGAAAAATTAATGTTGACCTTTTGGGGATGCTTAATCCTTCTGGCTGGGCCTGAAGGTCACAAGGACCCCCCTCCCTGCTAAGAGGGTTCTTAGAAGCCCCCCTGCCAGGCTCCAAAGGGTAGAGAATAAAGCAGGCTGGTGTGGCAACAGCCAGGCTCCTGCCAGCCCAGCCAGGATGTGGGAAGGAGAACCACGCTCTCCGTCTTCCCCAAATTCCAAGCCACACCTGCCACGGTCCCTGGGCTCCAGGCCTCTCTTGCCCTTCAACCGTGTTTCTTTCACCAGCGATGTTTTTGGCCGTGGGTAAATATAGCTTCATCCTGTTGACAGCAAACAAGGAACAAGATGGCCGTGCACACACAGGTCGCTTGGATGGGGTGAAAAAGGAGAGGGGGTCCTTGGGAAAAAGACAGATCCCACAAGAAACTAATCAAGGGGAGAAGCAACCTAGAACTAAGGAGAACTTTTCTGACAGTTAAAACAATTCACTAGTGCTCCAACTTCCTTCCAGAAGTTTTGGATGCTCCAACACTGGAGGCTCTTAAGAAGAGATTGGACAGCCATTTGTCTGGAATGGTAGAGGGTCTGCTGTTTGCGCAGGGGGTTGGACTAGAAGACCTCCAAGGTCCCTTCCAACTCTCTTCTTCTGTTAATGTCGTCTCCATCAGCTGCTTCTGTGGCCCACAGCCAGCCGAGGGTGTTGTCATACAAATTCTTTCCTGTCCCGTAGAGCCCCATGGGCTTTGAGAAGAGACCAGGGTGTGGCTCGGAGTCCCCGTGGGCATGCTGGGAAGGGGCGGGCCCTCGTGCAAGGAAGAAGGGCAACGGGGGGGGGGGGTGAGAGCGAAGGATTCTGGGTGGAGATACAACACCGGAGGAAGGAAGAGATTAAGGATTTTCCTCCCCGTTTCCAAATCCATTTCTCTTTTGAAGAAAGGGGAAGGTTCACTTCCATCGGGGGTCTTCCTGGAAAGGGAGAGCCTTTCGCGCTTCCCCTGGAGGAACAGCCATCTCCGGAGGATCAGGAGGCCAGAAGGAGGATCAGGAGGCCGGACGAACGGGCAAAGACTTGTTATGGGCACATCCAGGCGAGAACCCAGCATTATCCAGGACCCACAGGAAGATTTGGGTGCCGCTAGCAGGGCAAGCTGAGTAAACGTGTGCCTGTGGGTGGGTCGGTGGGTGTTGCTGTACATTTGGCGGAAAAGTCCAGCAGCTCAAATCCTGCTGCCAGAGGGACTTTCTGTTTGTCCAAGCAGTAAAATGAGGTCAGGGTAGATAAGAAACGAGCCTGGCAGATACTTAAAATTTCCTCGACGTCTGTAATCGCCCAGCCCCACCCGAAAGACTTTGGCTCAACGTTTTCCCCAGTTTGGGTTGCTGCGGAAAGGAAGGGAGATTAAAGGCCTTCAGTGGAAATCGTACTTACTGTGGGAACCCTTTGGTTTTTCCGAACAATTAACCAGTGGAACGACTTGCCACCAGATGTTGTGGGTGCTCCAACACTGGAGGTTTTCAAGAAGAGGCTGGACAGCCATATGATATAGGGTAAGGGTGTCCAACCTGGGAACTTGAAGACTTGGGGACTTCAACTCCCAGAATTCCCCAGCCAGCATAGCTTAAAGTTCCGAGGTTGGACACCCTTGATCTTCTAGGATCTTGTGCTTGAGCAAGAGGTTGGATTAGAAGACCTCCAAGGTCCCTCCAATTCTGTTAATTAACCAGTGGAACGACTTGCCACCAGATGTTGTGGGTGCTCCATCACCGGAGGTTTGCAAGAAGAGTTTGGACAGCCATTTGTCTGGAATGGTGGTAGATTTTCCTGCTTGAGCAGGGGGCTGGTCTAGAAGACCTCCAGTACCCCTTCCAACTATGTTATTCTGCTAAACAGCAGCACCTCTGGAGGATAATCCAAGCGACCGGAGGCTAAAACCCAGGAACCGATCCCTAGCAAGCAGCCACCTTGGCCCTGTTTGCTCTGCGCCCTCATGAAGCGGAGGAGAAGCTAAGCAAAGAGAGTTAATCATTGTCCTGAGGTGCTTGGGGGGGGGGGGCAGAGTGCAGGAAGGGGCAGGTCCCAGCCCTAAGGAAGACGCAATTATTGTGCAACCAGGCAGCTTGGCTGAAGGCGTCCACCACAGTCCAGACTGACCACAGTTGGTTGACCCAGGACGCCTACATGGTGAGCTTAGAGATCTCCCAAAACTGGGACAAGGCAAGTGTGCAGACAGAGGGGGAACAGTGCTTCCCCCTTAAAACTGTTGACCCACGCTGGTA